TCCAGGCCGTGGCGGAATACGCTAGAGCGGGCTGACGCGGATGTCCCGACACAATAAAAGAGGAGAGAGATAAGGGCATGGTTTGTCAACTTGGCCTAAGAGTCCCAAATAGCCATCCTTCAAGGACTACAACCCAAACGTCTTCTAATCCCTTTAGTAGTCCATGTGTTCGAGAAAGTAGGGACTATGTGGGACTAAAATGGGCTCAGTAGTATGTAGTCTCATCTAAGCAAACATGCCCTAAAGTAGTTCAATCCCCTTTAGTCCTCAAGGGTGACCAAACTTTAGTCAGTTGAATAAACTTTAGTCCATTAACAAGGCGCAAGTTAAGTCAGAATTTTCCTCTCTTTTTTTTTGCATTTTCCTTTTTTTGAGGTTGTGGGTTGCAATTAAAGCCCTACCTTTTCAGATGCTTAATTAATTATTAATTTCAGATTGTACTGAAGCTTTCTCCAATCTGAATTTCATTACGTATTTGGAGATGCTAAAAATTTCAGACCACCTCTGTTAATAAAATTCCTTGTCTTCTGAAATTATTTTTTTATTAGTAAGATGTGGTTTCCCTTAAAATATTATTTTTGGAGACGCTTCCAATTTCAGACCGCCTCTGTTAATAAAATATAAAATTTTAATATGGAAAAATATGGATTATTCATTGGGCGAGATCGGGGTGTAAAAATAGGAGGTACCTAACTGAAAGTACCTGGAGGTACCAAATTGGTGGGGGTAATATCAACTTAGATCGGACCAGTACCAAAAATATGTAGAGCAATATCTATTTTTCATTTTTTTTTTCTGAATATGGGTAATCGGTCATTTAGTACTGTCATTCAAGGTAAAAATGGGATAGCTTCTCGATGAGATACCTGTACTTGTATTTGAAGACATTTCTTCTTTAATTTTGAAAGGAAAAAAGAGCGTATATGATGTCATCATGACATCATGGCCCGGTCCGGCGTTAGGCACGCCACGCGGCTTCGCACCCTCCGCTCCCTGGCCGCCACATATACGCTCCCAGGGTTCCTCGGTGCTTAACACCACGAGAAGGCCCGAGAGGAAGGCGCGGTTGACGTGCTTGCTCCTGCTCGCTCGGGCGGCACCTAGCACCTCGACGAGCCGCTCCCGCTTCACCTCAGGCTCTGGCAATGGCGGTAACAGCTTGGCCGTGCCGCACGCTCGAACAGGAACTTGACAGTGGTCCTGAGAACGGCTCCATTATAAAATTATTAATATTTTTTTTGGCTAAACTAGAAATAAAGTTCGTGATGCTACAATACTTTTTTAAGTGGAGTGATGCTACAATTGCTGGATCACTCAGCCATCGGTCCAAATTTCCATGGGCCTTTGCCTGAGCCCGAAATTAGAATCCGTAAACGGCTGCGGAAGCCATCGGAGTCGTTTCACCTATGGATGAAAACGGTACGGATATTTATTTGACCGTCCGTTCGACCGAACAAATATGAACACTTATCTGGATAGTTACTCGGATATCTGTAATTTTTTTCGGATACGGATACTAAAACGGATATCTTAGGCGGATATCAAATACGGATGTAATATCATCGATATCCGGCGGATATCGGATAATCCGGTTAAGTATCGGATATATTCGGATATTTAAAAACGGATATTATCCGGATATTATTCAAACGACCTTGCATGGAGAAATGATCAAAATAAAAATTGTAGATCTCAAAAAGTTATGAAACTTTGTTACTTACAACTTTTTCGTTTGAAATCATTTAGTGCTTCAAAATTTAAACCGTCCAAACTTTCTCAAATGAAAAACTAGTTTATAGACGTCAAAATTTAAAAATCACAAATTTGAACCATCCAAACTACCTCAAATGGAAAGTTGACCAAAACAACAATTGTAGATCTTGATGAGTTGAACAAACTTGGTATTCAAAACTTTTCAATTTGAAGTCATTTAGAGTTCATAATACTAGAGTCAAAGTGTTGTTTTTTCATTTAACCAAATTTAACTTGGTCAAACTTGCTCAAATGAGACACTAAATGGCCTCAGATGAAAAAACTCTGAATACCAAGTTTGATCATCTCAGCAAGATCTACAATTGTTACATAGCTCATTTTCCCATTTGAGAAATTTTTATCAAACACTAGTCACAAATTCTTGAATCTCATGTAGACTTTCTGAAACTATGTCACACACTTGTGAAATTTGAACTATATTTTGTTCAAACTTTCTCAAATGAAAAAATGGCCTATATAAGGATTGTAGATCTTGATGAGATGAACAAATTTGGTATTCAAAACTTTTTAATTGGAGACAATTTAGGGTTCCGAAAACTAGTTTGTAAACGTCGAAATTTAAAAATCACAAATTTGAACCGTCCAAACTATTTCAAATGGAAAGTTGACCAAAACAACAATTGTAGATCTTGATGAGTTGAACAAACTTGGTATTAAAAACTTTTCAATTTGAAGTCATTTAGAGTTCATAATACTAGAGTCAAAGTGTTGTTTTTTCATTTGACCAAATTTGACTTGGTCAAACTTGCTCAAATGAGACACTAAATGACCTCAGATGAAAAAACTCTGAATACCAAGTTTGATCGTCTCAGCAAGATATATAATTGTTACATAGCTTATTTTCCCATTTGAGAAAGTTTTATCAAACACTAGTCACAAATTCTTGAATCTCATATAGACTTTCTGAAACTATGTCACACACTTGTGAAATTTGAACTACATTTTGTTCAAACTTTTTCAAATGAAAAAATATTCTATATAAGGATTGTAGATCTTGATGAGCTGAACAAACTTGGTATTCAAAACTTTTCAATTTGAGACAATCTAGGGTTCCGAAAACTAGTTTGTAAGCATCGAAATTTAAAAATCATAAATTTGAACCGTCCAAACTATCTCAAATGGAAAGTTGACCAAAACAAGAATTGTAGATCTTGATGAGTTGAACAAACTTGGTATTCAAAACTTTTCAATTTGAAGTCATTTAGAGTTCATAATACTAGAGTCAAAGTGTTGTTTTTTCATTTGACCAAATTTGACTTGGTCAAACTTGCTCAAATGAGACACTAAATGACCTCAGATGAAAAAACTCTGAATACCAAGTTTGATCATCTCAGCAAGATCTACAATTGTTACATAGCTCATTTTCCCATTTGAGAAAGTTTTATCAAACACTAGTCACAAATTCTTGAATCTCATACAGACTTTCTAAAACTATGTCACACACTTGTGAAATTTGAACTACATTTTATTCAAACTTTCTCAAATGAAAAAAATGGCCTATATAAGGATTGTAGATCTTGAATCCATGACCATGACTCCATGAGACCCATGAAGCCATGAGCTTGGCTATTTCTACTCATGCCGTGAAGATTGGTGCTTGTATGATGTTTGATGTATGATGTATCTGTATCTTTATCTTATTTGTTGCTTTACTCTTTAGTCTTTTGGCTTAATCTAGATGGATCATGGACTCATAGAGTGGTGTAATGGTTTACGCACGTATGATATATATATATATATGCTGCTTTTACTCAATATCCAAATAGATATTTGTATCCGACCTTCTTCGAATCCGATTCATATCGTATTTGATACTCATTATTCGTATCCGTAACCGAGTCAATCCGTATTCGTATATGTATCCGAACGCTATCCATGTCCGAATCCAAATTCAAACAGAAATATAAAAACAAATATAATATGAGTGATACCTGTCCGATCCGTTTTTATCCCTAGTTTCACCCGACTTCCGCCGCGTCACTGCGTCAGTCCGCCGCCGCCGCCGCTAAACTCTGAACCAACGCGGCGTGTCGCGTCGATGTTGGCCCCAGCTCTCCGAGTGAGGTGCCATTGCGCTCCACCATCCTTCGACGGTCGACGCCAACGCGCGTGAGCCAGTCCCCGCTCGATTCCGGCTGCCGCCACCGTCGTCGTGGGCCCGACAACTCGTCCGGCGGCGCCACACCGGCTCATCTCTTGCTCCGACCATGCGTTGCACAGGTGCGGACTCCACCTCTACTACGCTAACAAATAGAGTAGCGTACTACTTGTGTTCAGTTCCCGCGCGAGTAGATTCAGAGCAGCATCACATTTCAGCAGCCCCCTCAGTGAAATTGTCGGGTTATGCACTTATATTACGATCCCGACTCCTGAGAATTGCCACCGGTAAAAAACTCCCTCAAGTAGATAGACGCATGGAGCCATGGACATCTTCCTCATGCAAATATCAAATATGCAGTTACGAATTGCTGACCCCAATCACGGACATGATTTCTGGTGATAAACTTTGATATATTACATGTTTAGCTGGTTATCCATCTTGACATTTTGTGTATATAGAGTCACTGCTGTTTTTCTGGTGCCAATTTGGGGGAGCTGTTTGGGTTGTCTGATTTGCCAGTGCTTTTCTTTCGCCGTCTCATCCAGAAAGCACCAAACTGCAGCTGCAGGAGTCAAGTCGAAATGTACTTATTTATATATAAAAAAAATAGACTCTGAAATGTATTTTTGACACACCAACTGCTTAAATACAGTTCATTCAGAGTGCGCAGATCCTTGCATATTCATGTTTAAACCCAGAAACTACATGCTAATACATGGAAACATAACTCCCCCTTAACTCTTACTGTTTTTCTGCATTATTATCTTTGTTGTTTGTGTCCACTCTGCTACCTGCGATACTCTGTTTGTGGTTTAAAAATTTACTTACCTGCTTGGCAAGTAGGCTTTATAATCTCAGAAGTCACAGAATGATAAGAATACAACCTATTGTACATCTCTCATATTACCTGATCTTTGCATCACTGTAATACATATCACTGAGGAACTACAAATTTTACACACTGCTAGGTGCTGAACTACTGATATCTTGATGGTAAAGGGAAAAAAAAGCCGTTCAGTTGTGTGTTGAACATTCTTGCTTGCCTGTTATTCCAAATCAGCGACTTATTTGAATGGGGCTACAAATTTGGAAAGTAGTGCCTAGTTATCATGCAAATTGCAAAATTTCAGTGATGGCCGCTTCCTTGTTGCAAATTAACCAGTCCAAAGTATGTTCCAGCAGGACCCTTGGCCATGAGGGATGCATGTGTACCTGTCTCCACAACAATTCCTTTCTCAAGCACAGTGATCTGGTCGCAGTTCTGGATAGTGCTTAGCCTATGTGCCACAACTACACTAGTCCTGCCAATTGATACTCGGTCCAGCGCCTCTTGCACCACCTTCTCCGACTGGCTGTCCAGTGCACTTGTAGCTTCATCCAGTAGCAAGATAGCAGGGTTCTTCAAGATTGCACGGGCGATTGCAATGCGCTGCTTCTGACCTCCTGAAAGCTGAACACCCCGCTCACCACACCATGTGTCATATCCATCCTTTAGGTTGCTAATAAAGTCATGTGCATTGGCGGACATTGATGCATTCTCAATTTCCGCCTCACTCGCTCTTTCTGTTCCATACATAATGTTCTCTCTAATGGTACCTGCAAATAATGTTGGCTCCTGGCTGACTAGTCCAATGTGCTGTCGCAGGGCTCGGAGATTGTATATTTTGATGTCCCTACCATCGACCTGTACCACCCCCCTCAGTGGCTCGTAGAACCGCTCTATAAGTCCAATGATTGTTGATTTGCCTGAACCACTTTGCCCAACAAGGGCTGTCGACATGCCTGGCTGTATGCTTAAGTTGAATCCTTTGAAGATGACCACATCTGGCCTTGATGGGTATGCAAAATCAACTTCTTTAATGTTGACCTCACCCACGAGTTTCTCTGGTTTGTATCCCTCAGGGCTGTCAGGGTTAATTTCTGATTCCCGGTCAAGAATAGAAAACACTGAAGCGACTGCATCAGCACCCTTAGCAAGGTCTGTTGTCACGCTACCTGCATCTGCAATTACACGCCCTGTGCCTACTAGAATTGTGAAGGTTTGGTAGAGGGCCTTAGCAGTAATGTGATGTTCAGCAATTAGCTTGCCACCGTACCAGAAGTCGAGGGCTGCAGTGCATCTCAAAAGACTCATGGACGTGCCGAGGCCAAGACCTGCAAACCATGATTGTCGAATGCTTTCATTGCGTGGTCCATCCTGTGCTTGGTCAAAGAGGCGCAAGATGCGTTCCTGGGATGAGAAAGCAGTGATGGTGCGAAGATTAGAGACAGCCTCAGCTGCTAGCTTACTACATTCAGATTGTGCCTGTATAGATTGCTTTGACATGCTCTTTAGTAAGACACGACGAGCATAAAAGCAGATGATGATAAGAGGCTGGACTACTATCATCACAAGGGCCAAACGCCAGGCAATTATCAGACCCATGACGCTGGCAATGAGAACAGCAGAAATTGTTTGGATCACCAGAGACATTCTATCACCCACTAGTGACCTCACCTACAACACAAATATTATGTCATATAAGTTACTCTTGTTTTCTAAATACTCATAAGCTTCAATCAAAATTTTTATACTTACAACGTTGGTGTCCTTGGCAAGCTGGGAGCATATGACACCACTTGAGTTGTCATCACGGTCAAACCACCCAATCTCGAAAGTGAGAATTTTCTCAAGCATATGTTCCCTAATCCTCTTGGTAAGGTATTCCCCCATAGCATCAAAGTTGTAATGCTGCCCAATATTGATCAGGAATGTGAGCACTGCAAGGGCGGCAAAGAAAAGTGCATGGGTCCTTGTTTTGTCCTTGATCTCTTCATGATCTGTCAAGAAGTAGATAGAGATCATGCTCCCCATGGCGTATGAGTACGCAGGTTGTATGCCACCGAACACGATTGCACTAGAGCCTCCTATCAGTGCCTGCTTCCACTCTGGTGCATTAAGCATAAGTAGCCTTGTGAATGATGGCACAGGTGTCTTTGGCTTGCCTATGTCGTAATCATCTTTTGCATTGTCCGCTGACCTCCTTGAGCTTGAGCTGCAAGCTGCAGAGAGTCTCCTACTCACACTGTGGCTGCTGTATTGTCCCATATTAGATGTACTTTCAGTTCCACCAACCTCTGTAGCCTCCCTTGAACATCTGTTCTGTTGAAGTTGGACAAGAGATGAGTAGAGGCCATTCTCATTTGCAGTGAGCTCATCATGGGAGCCCAACTCCACGACCTCACCAGACTTCATAGCAGCAATCAAATGAGCATTTCGGATGGTGGAGAGCCGATGTGCAATGACAATAGTAGTTCGGCCCATGGAGGCCAGGTCAAGTGCCTCCTGTACCACACGCTCTGAGTTAGTGTCCAATGCACTGGTGGCTTCATCCAGGAGAAGGATCTTGGGTGACTTTAGGATTGCTCTGGCAATTGCAATCCTTTGTTTCTGCCCTCCAGACATCTGGACACCACGCTCACCCACCTGTTTTTTTTGTTCCAGACATGGTTAGTGTCAAATTACTAAAAATGGCCAACAATTCATAGAAGTAGAAAATTTTTTAGTTCCAAGGTCATTGATTTGAGCAATTTCAATAGATGAAAACGAAACAGTTTCTTGACAAAGGTAACACCTGTAACAGTCTGTAACTTCGTGTGACAGAAAACATAACTCAAGTTTGCTGTAGCAAGAAGATAAAGAATTGAGCATTTTTTTCATTTGCAATTTTTTTGAACGGTTTTCATCTGCAAATTTTGGTTTGTATGTATCCCCTCTTTTTTTCTATTTCAAAAACTTGCTTATAGCAGCTAATATCTGCATTACGTTATTAACAACTGTTATAAACTGGTCAAGACCTCCCCTTGTTATTAGAATAATATATATAAAATGTTGGTGCGACACTTGTGCAAAACTGGCATGCTTTTCTGCCATTTCAATGTTGAAGGTAACTTCGATCATCTATCTCAATTATTCTATTGTTTTGGGCCATGTACACAAATTTGCCTAAAAAACCGTGTACAGAAGCTGTCAATGGCCGGGCTCTTTTTTTTTTTTGATACAGGGCTCTGTTTGTTGGGGATGAACATCGAATTTAGATGATATAAGTAAAGGAATAAGTAAACATCTTGGTATTGGATTGATATTAGATTGTTCAAAGTGATCCTTTGTGAACATTTTCTAGAAAAAAGTATTTGTGCACTATTTACACATAGTTGGCTGAGTTTGATGCCACTACTATACTATTCTTGGATTGTTTTTTGATCGTCAATCGGAATCTGCATCAGCATTTCAGTTTGAACCATTCAACTTTGTCTTTTACTCTTCTGTTTTCAGATTAAATTCAAAAAAGCCTCTGTAAGATTTGGACTTGGGAGGACAAAGTATCTGCACGACAACAAGTGCACAGGAAGCCGCCACAGTACCTGCGTGTCATAGCCCTGCGGCAGCTGGGCGATGAAGCTGTGCGCGTTGGCCGCCTTCGCCACGGCGACGACCTCCTCCTCCGTCGCGTCCTCCTTACCGAGCAGGATGTTCTCCCTGATGGACGTCGCGAACAGCGCGGGCTCCTGGCTGACGAGCCCCATCTGCGCGCGCAGCCACTTGAGCCGCAGCCGCCGGATGTCCACGCCGTCCAGGGTCACCTCCCCGGCCGACAGGTCGTAGAAGCGCCAGCAGCGCGATCACCGTCGACTTCCCTGACCCGCTGCTGCCGACCAGTGCCACCGTGTGACCCGCCGGAATGTGCAGGTTGAAGCTTACTAAGACGGGGCTCTCCGGCCGCGACGGGTAGCAGAATTCTACGTTCCTGAACACCACCTCGCCGGCGACGTTGGCGAGCTCCTCACCGGCGTCACTCTCCGAGTCGATCTTGGGCACTCGCCGGATTAGCTCCTGGATCCTTTCGGCCGCGGCGCTCGCCTCCGAGAAGTACTTGACGTTCGACAACCCGGACCCCAGCGCTCTGCATGCACATGGTTCGTGATGGCAATACAATGTTAACAAAAAAAAAAAAACCGGTTTGGTTTGCAGCAAGCTAGCTAGTAGTATTTACGTACGTTCCTCCGATGATAATGGCAGTGGAGACGGCGTAGACGGTGCCGCCCTTGTAGCCGTGGTACATGACCAGCCGGCTGCCGTACCAGACGCTGAAGGCATAGATGGCGAAGCTGACGCCACTGCTGCCAATGGCGACACCCTTGGCGAGACCCTGCTTGATCCCGAGCCGCATGGACTCCTCGAGCGCGGCGGAGAACGGCGCCATGGTGCTCCTCTCCGCGACGAACGAGTACACGGTGCGCACCGACGACACGGCCTGCTCCGCGACGGCGCCCGGGCGCGTGTACTGCTCCCTGATCCGGCGCGCGAGGTCGATGAGGATGCGGCCGTAGAGGAAGCCGGGCACGACGAGCAGCAGCACGGTCGGCAGCAGCACGAGCGCCAGCTGCCTGAGCAGCGCGAGCCCGACGGCGTAGCCGCCCAGGAACGTGGAGCAGTTCATCACGAAGTTGGGCAGCTTCTCGCTCAGCACGTCCTGCACCACGAGGCTGTCGCTGGAGACGCTGGCGATCACGTCCGACGTGGTGCCGGCCTTGAGGTCGAAGTACTGCACGTCCTGCCGGAGCACCGCCCGCAGGTAGCGCAGCCGCATCCGCGACGCCTGCCGCTCCGCCGTCCGCGTCCAGCAGTACCCCTCTGCATGCACGTCAGACGCGGCGAGAAGAACACATGATGAGCATGGACGGACAGGGCAGCTGCATGTGGCACTGAAGTGCATGCAAGCCTGTGCAGTGCAGTGCAGCGCGCACTCACCTAGGAACGCCATGATCCAGTTGCCGGCCGCCAAGTAGAGTATGTTCCGCGCGTTCTGATAGGGAGACCCGGCGTGTGCGTCCATCAGCGAAAGTGTTCACATCACATTGGCTTAATTTGGTACGATTATTGCACGTCAGAGAGAGTACTACCTCGTTCATCTTGGAGGTGAACTGCAGGAGGCGGTCAGGCCCGGTGCCAATGTCGTTGAAGATGCGGTTGGCGAGGAACAGCATCATCGGCGTGGACAAGCCGTCTCCCACGGCGCCCACCAGGCCCAGCACCATCAGGGCCATGTCCGCCGCGTCCGCGTGCATGAACACCGACGCGAACGACCACGCCACCGGCGCCGCCACCATCTGCTTCGATGTCCCTAGTGTCATGTGCGTCTTGCTAGATAGCTAGCTAGCCGGCGCGCTGCAGCACGTACGCCGGCCGCCGGGCCGGACTTGTGGTCTTGTGGCGGACGTTCAGCGGCTGGCCGGCGGCTACGGCTATGTAATCGATCCGTCAATTTTGCCTTCTTTTCAGGCCCTAAAAGGTGGCAGCTTCTGACGCTTACATTACATATATACACGCCATAGGGTGGCACTGGCACAGGTGCGTAACAAGCAGCAGTGTACCTGCATGCCCGGTAGACGAAGCCAAGTTGGGTTGGCACTGGCAGCACGCGGTTGGGCCCAGGGTCGGGTTCTTCGTCAAGGGCCACGTGGCAACGTATCTGCTCACTGCCCTCAAGCCGCCGAAGAAATTTTGTGCTTGTATGCATGCATGCATGCAGTCAACAGCTGAGCAGCGGCGGCAAACTGGTTCAACTGCTCAAGGGACCTCGCTTGCAGCCGGCGGCACACGCTTTTCACCAGCCATGCCGCCGGTCACCTCGTTACCATGCATGACACGTCCTGGCGTATGCGGTATGCATGTCAGTCCGGTTCTCTGTTCTGACGGCCATTGCTAGGCCATGCATGCCCATTCAGCGCATGGCACCGGCACCGGATCAACGCAGCTTATTCGAAGAAGCTAAGCAGCTGGTCGATCAGAAGATCGCAACATACGACACGACACGCCATCAAATTTTTTTTATCGGCCGAAATTCATAGAAATTTTTGAAATTTCCGTTCTATCCACAAGGTCCGTTAAAATTTGATATCGGCCAAATTTTTCCCTTCTTTCCTGCTCCCACTCAGACAACCCAAATTTAGCCGCGCGACGGTCCAACACTTATAATGCTTAATTCTTGTTTTTATCTGTGAACAAGTGATGTTTAATAGCTTAGGAATAGTTTCTAAGTCAAATTCTATGATTTTTTTTCAAAACAATTTGATTTTTTTAATTTGATCCGATATATCCTGATTATCCTATTTATCTATGACCTTTGATAAATTTTTATTTCTGATAATGAAAACCTTGCACGCCATGCATGGCGGGGGCGGGCCCACATGTATTCTATGGTATTCAGTTGAGTTCTCAAATTTTTTGGCAAAAAATTTCATATATATAATGTATATACAAGTCTGTATATGAGAAAAAGAAAAATACAGTGAACTTCCTACATGTACGATCAATTCAGCCCAATTTCTAATCGTTTTCGTTTCCCATCCGAGGCCCAGTGCTGCCCCGCGGCCCATTTTGTCTAGCTGAGGCCCAAGGATGCACGCTCGGTGCTCCAGGTCGCCCTCCTGTCCCACTGGCCGATGCTCCCTCAATCGCACGGAGAAAATTGAATCGACTCGGTTCTTGTGGCGTGTTCTGGCGAAACAAACCCTTAGGGCCTCGGTTGATCGGTTCGTGCCCTCGTGCAGCGTGCGACGGCAAGGAGGCAGGAGGCGCGGCACGGCAGCGTGCGAGTAGCAGCTAGCAGGCCAGCCGCTGGCACCAAGCGCCAGGCAGCGACCTCCGACCTGTAAGTTCAGATTCACTCCTCACAAAGTTTTAGGGATAGCAATTCACCAATTTGTCCCTAAACTACTTAGTCTAGTCTCTTGTTTTAATTTTAGGTCTCAAGTATGAAAAGAAAATGATGAAAGCTTCACAAATTTGAGAGGTCTAGCAGAGTTGTCCATGATGCTTGTTAAAAAGGACAAGGTTGATATGTTCAACATTGTTTACAAATTTCTCAAATTGATGCTAGTTCTCCCAGTTGCAACAGCCGATGTTGAAAGGATATTTTCTACCATGAATTATATCAAAAACAAGCTGAGATATAAGATGGGGCAAGATTACCTGAATGATGGCTTGGTTACATTCATTGAAAGAGAATTCTTCTTGCAAGCAAAGGATGAACATCATCAACCATTTTCAAAGCACGAAGGATCGGAAAGTTGTCTTGTAATTTGTAAGTTTTATTGTCATTTGATTGTCAATTCTATATGTTGCCATTCCATATGTTGCCACTTTGCTATGCTGAACTATTGGTACCTTTTTATGTTAAACAATTTCAATTTATGCTCAGATTCTTGAATATGGAAATTCTGCTCAATTTTTAAACTATATATTATACAGTTTTAACTATATGGTATTATACATGCCAAATATTAGCCATTTGGTTGTAAAAAAAATAGTACTCATGTATAGTTTGAATACCCAGACCTCAAATCATGGGCCCGCCGCTGGCGGCGAGCGTAATAATCTACTAATTAATATCTGCTGGGTTATAGTGACAGTCACGTTGATCG